AGAAGAGAAGAGAAGAAACATTATTTTACATAATTTTTTTTGGCCAAAGCTCACACATAGCATATTATTGTTCATTGAATGGAAGAAGAAATTTTGGTATTGGCGTCTTTGCAACATATCAGAATATTGTTGACGAAGGAGCGAACAAAGTGAGCGAGTTAAATACAAATTTTAGAAAAAAAAAAATAATAATTAAAGATAACTAGAAAGAAGTACCTAAACATGTACCTAAAGAGACACGCACACAATGGCGGGTTCTCTCCTTCGTCCTTTAACGATAAGCGTTTAGAACGCGGCTCCTATGGCTGCTGCACACTCGCATGATGAAACAGCGATGTCTCGTTGCTAAACTTCATTTTTTTGATCTCGAAATATATATTTGTTTATTATTTTTCTTTTTTTTTTTTTTTCTCTCTTTTTCCTATACGAAAAAATGAAAGTACATATTATAAAACACCGTGGTATTTGTTCGAATGAATGAATCAAGTCGTTGTCACGTGCGTAAAATAAGCGTGCAAATTCTCAATGGGGGGAGGGTGGCAAAGTGGAGGAGGAGGAGAGGGAATCATCTCACCTTAAATGAAATTGTTTCTTTTTTTTTTGTTTTGTTTTGTTTTAATTGATCGGGATTTACGTATATATTTTATCCTCGTACCACCTATTACGATTAGAAAAGAAAAAAGAAAAGGGGAAGAGAGAACGTAAGAAAAATAAAATAAAATAAAGAGAGTGAGAGAGAGAGAAATAGACAAAGCAAGTTGGAAATATTCGATGTTGCACACAATACAAACATCGAATATTCGGCACAATAATTTAATCGAGCATCGTTAATTTGCATGCGAGTGCCAAAAAAAAAATGTGCGGTCAATTATCGTCGACCAAAACCACTACCACCACCACCACCACCACCACCTCCCATTCTTTACCATTACTCTTTGCGTTTATGTGATTTTAGAGAGTTAAGGCGAAACCGCGAATCCGTCTTCTTGGTAAACCGCGATGATAAATTAGAAAGAAGTATGAAACTTGAGAGAAATGCGGCTTACGAAGCGGATTCGGCATAAAGTTACCTATTACGTTATGACGTTTAATTTTAATCAAACTAACGTAAAAAGTCCTATTTACATATATATATATACATATACTATATATATATATATATATATATGTACGTATACCGCGCTACAGCTGCTGCTATTACTACTACTATTACTATTAGAATTTATTACTACTATTACTACTACTACTACTACTACTATTATTACTACTGCTACTACTACTATTACTACTTACTACTTACTATGACTACTACTACTACTACTACTACTACTACTACCACCACCTGCACCACCATTACCACTACCCCTACCATCATCACCACAATTTACTACTAATTACTACTACTATTACTACTACTACTACCACCAGATCTATTACTATTATTACTACCCATTACTACTTATTACTAGTGCTACTAGTTTATGGCGTTATTATTACTACACCACCACCATTGTTACCATCGATAACTTTGTCGTGAATTTGTGTTATTGTTACCACTATTCCTTAAAACCGTTAGTTCATCGCTAGATATTACGCTCTTCGGATGGCTCTTCAATAATAATGACTACACGACACGACGATGACAACTAAAAACAACGATGAAGATGACAATGGCGCTAGCTAACTTTAGAAGAAATATTGTAGCCGCCTCTCACATGAAACGACAACAAATTCGTAAAAACGAGAGGGAGAATGAACAACAACAGCAGCAACAGCAACATCAACAGCAGAAGCAACAAAAGCAGCAGAAAGTTTTCATGGATACAAATATGGACAAGATATTCCCATCCATTTTATTTAAGGATCTCTCTGTCTCATTTGTTTTCTTTGTTTGTTTGTTATCATCTATTTTCAAACACAAACCTTTAAAACGTCGTCGTATTTTCTTCTATCTTCAATGTTGTACATCACGAAGAAAACAAATTCCATATACATTCGTAAAACCATAATAAATAATAAAAGTGAAGGCACAAAATATGAAAGGAAAAAGGATGAAGAAGAAAATGAAGAAGAAAATGAAGAAGAAAATGAAGAAGAGCCACCCCCACATCTGAGAGCGGAATAAACAAAACAAAAGAAGAAAAAAAAAATAAAGCGAACTTAATAAATACGTGTACTAATTGCACAATAGTAGATAATATTATACTACGTGTGTATACGTCGTTAACAAATTTCCGTGTGTACCAACCCGGTTAAATATTTGAAGCTTTTTTTTTCTATCTCTCTTCTAACGAACGTTCAAACCGAGAATTCGAAATCGAGGATTCGAAATGAACACAATATATCCTTTTCGTATCCTTGACGTATATCCTCGGACGAATATTATTCCTGTTTTTTTTTCTTCCAAACATTTTCTTCTATTTTATTCCCCTTTTTTTTGGAATCATCATCCACAACCTTTTTTCTCTCTCTGTCTATCTGTCTGTCTGTTTGTCTGTCTCTCTCTCTCTCTCTCTCTCTTTTTCTCTTCATTCCTTCTCCTTTCTTTCTATACGATCGTTCCTTGAAAACAAAGTATATACATATATACATATATATATATATATGTATATAAAATATATATATATATATATATATATCTTTTTTACGTTTCGTTTATAATTAGTAAATATCTTTGATCGATAAAATATATGAAGAAAGAATAATAATAATAATTAAAAAAGAAAAAGAAAATAAGATTAATTAATAATTATTATTAAATAATATCGTCCGCGCAAAACTCTCAATGTGTAAAATACGACAGTCGTATGAAAGAATAATCGATTATACTATATCGATATTTGCAATATATAATAAATAAATAAATAAATATATATATATATATATATATATATATATATGCAATATACGCGAGCGGATATACGCGTGCGTGAGAGTTTTTGGAGAATGATTGCGATTAGTAAACAAAATGTTCGAAATATTATAATTAATAAAAATAAAAATAAAATAAAAGGCCCGGTAAGAATGCAAGGTAAAAGATAAAGAAGAAAAAATGAAAAAAAAAAAAACAAAAAACAAAAAAAAAAGCAGAAAAAATAAATATAAAGAGAAAATATAAAAATAAGAATTTAATGGAGGACATCGAGAATAATTATTATATTTCGACGAAATATTTTCTAATCATTGCGATCATTGATAAATAATTACTATCGATAAAAAAACAAATAGAATCTTTCGATCGAAACTATTTTTAATGAGAAAGAATCTTATTGTTCACATTCGTAAAAAGCCAAGTTCGAGTTCACAGAGTAATTTCCAAAAATGGAATTCAAATTGTTCCTTTATTTTATCTTCTAAAAAAGAGAACAAATATATATATATATATATATATTTGGTGTTTCCACTGAAATTAATAATATAGTGAACGTGTTAAATAATTATTTATATTAATACAAAATACAATTCTCTATGAGCTTAGACGTTCAAATGATCGCGTGATGTAAAATTATTTTTTACAAAGTGCCGTGGATATGTAATTCGGTCGTCGATGATGGATATTCGTCAATAATAGAATGAAAAATTCCTATCAAAGATTATGCGAATGTATCGCGTATATATATACATATATATATATATATATGTATGTATGTATGTATGTATGTATGTATGTATGTATGTATGTATGTATGTATGGGGTGGAAAAAAGATAAAACGTGGTAGATAAGAAAAGGCAAAGTCGGATCGTTCGAATGTCGAAAATTATTTTCATTAATTAATAATAACGAGAGACAGGTCTTTTCTTCTTTTATTTTTAGAAAAACACAAAAAAATCATGGCTGTTAAACTTACAATATTTACTATGCGTCGTTCTATTGGTGTATAAAATAATACAACGTAACACATAACGAAAGAAAAAAAAAAGAGAAAAAAAGAAAAAAATAACAAAACATAAAAAAAAAAATGACAAAAAAAAAAGAAGAAGAAAAATTTAACTTAAACGATCAGATCCGTTTTCGTGTACAAT